GTGTAACTTGAAAGCACATCCAGTTAGCAATCGGAGGTTCCGGAGTTTCATTTCCTGGCGAGCGTACTGATCATTTCCCCCGTTTTGTGCTCCCATAAGAAACTTATTAGGTTCTACAACCTAACTTACCTAGTATTTTAATCGGACTGCTACTCTGTCTCCAGCAGTAGTTAACACCGAAATAATTCGCCCGTGACAGGACGGTTTACCAAATTTGATCTAAAACTCATACATATGTTTACATATAATCTATAAACTCTGTTCCGACAGAAGAAGTTTTTTCTGTTGCTTCTGCCTCCCATGTATTAGTAATATTTTCAGGAAAAAAAGTTAGTTTTTCATTTGCAATTTTTTTTTTTAAATCCAGAAGCTAATTTCAGATCTTAATTATTTAATCACTCTTTGTAAAACATTGCCTTAAATGAAATTCTTGAAACACGAAACTAAATGTCTCTAAGAAACTAAGTGCCACTGTTTTTGACAAAAAAAAAAAAAAAAAAAAAAAAAAAAAAACTCTCAATATCGCCAATCATTGTTCGTATAATGTACATTCAACGGGGATAGCTTGCACAATAAGAAGTTACTTCTGAAATTGTACCACCATGTGGAAGCCTTCTGAATCGAATAAGATTACTAATTAGAGATGAAACTAGACATGTCATTGGTGACATTTCAAAAAAGTGATGTTGGTGTGATACGTTCTTTTTTTTTTCTTTTTTTTTTCCTCTTCTTTGTTTTAGCTAGGCTACTGAATTTCGAGAGCTTGAACTTCGGAAACGTTTTACTAACCTAGTATAAACTAGATTAAAACTTAATCCTGCATGTTTACTGTTTAGAGGAGTAAACGTCGTAAAATTACGACGTTAATCATTTTTAGGTAAAATTTTAGTAATCAAAGTCATGTTAGTGCTAAATTAGGGATATAAGGTATTTCTCCCACTTTCCTAGCGTGCCTTCGTGGTGTAGTGATCAGCACACTGAGCCGGTATGTCAGAGGTCCGTGGTTCGATTCCCGGTGAAGGCGGTTGCTATTTTTCATCTTTCCTGCTTCCAAAAATATACCTAATGTCTCTACAGGGATAACTTTTTACATATTACGGAAAATGAAACATATGGTGATTTCAGTGCAGAAGTCCATGCATTGCTCATAACAGCTACTTGAACAAGCTCAGGAATTAATAAAAAATGCCCAAAAGTAAGAAAATGGAGAAAAAGGATTAATTATGCTTCAAAAGCTAAGCCTTTTTAATTTACTTGAAAATTTTCTATGCTCTGAAGGATTTCAACGTTTAAATTCTAACTAAAGCCTTTTTCAAATGATTTTACGTAATTTAATAGCATATTTTCTGACAGCTTTTAAAAAAATCTAGGAACATTTTAAGACGGTGTTATAAATTTTCATCTAATTTGTATGTCCAGTACCTGTTTCATACTAGAGAACTAACTGTCTAGCCAACCGGTGGTCAGTGAAAAAATTTTTATGGTGCATAAACATATGGGCATTATTTATATTTTTATAAAGACTCAGTTTCAAAATGGACGAATATCAAAACGTATTATGGAATTTGGATTTTTTTTTTAAATTTTAGCTACTACTTTTAGCGAAATTACTTCTGAGTTTAGCGAATTTTGCAGGTGTGTCTAGTGACATTTGAAAGTGAGAGTTGAAAACCATGGACATACTGCCGTTAAGAAGAATAGCGCGAGCTGGAATTCTTTTTTCCCTCTGAATTACAAACATATACTATTGCATTCGCTTATAGCACGTTTTTTTTCTCCGTGTCAAAAGAAAACTCGATTGATTTTTATGAGAACCATCTGCATTCTTGTTTAGTATAATCTTATCACCCGGTTTTCCGTTTCTGTACGGCATTCGGAACATCTGAAATTAAAATTACATTTTGCGATAAAATGTTGCTTACTAAGACAGTTTAGATACAGTTTATATCTTTTAACCATTTCATATCTTTGATTTGGATTTAATTTTAGAAATGAGTCACATTTATATAGCGGATAATTAATACGTTTGCAAAAATTTTAAATTGGCCGCATAACACTTCAGTTTGTTGATAGTGCTTTGCGTTGCCGTTTTCTTTCTTGCTTTTCGTGAAGTTCCTTTCCGGTAATATAGAAATATAAATAGAGACGTAAAGAAGTGACAATATAGTTATAGTGTACTTTACGAGGATTAAAAATAGCCCTCTTGACTATTAGGTAATAAAAGCATATACAAGGTTTCTGTTCAAGAAGGTAAGATTTTTGTACTATTCATATAATGTTTCAATGTTAACGAAATGTATATATCAGTTAGATGTTAATGGTGTTTTAGTTGTTACTCATAATATTTAAAACTGTGTAAAATCAGCGTTATTTAGTAGCCATATTAAGGGGACAATAGACCATTTTTTTGTTTTTCTTCACTTATTAATATGGAATAAATAAATTTTGCAAACATATAGTTAATAGCATAGCCATATTATATATCACAAAATAAAAGTTAAATTTTTTTAAGTTTAGTTTTTTTAATTAAATTTTTAATAGGAATTTTAAAATGCTCCCTGCGTTCCATTTTTTTTTTCTTTTTTCAATTGGTTTAACCTAATAATCACATAAAAGTTAATTTAAAATAATTCTATTCATTCATTAATAATTTTGTTAATAATTTTTTTAGAAATATTTTCTGGCACTTTAACTTTTGTATACTTGCATTTTAAGTTTTGTTTCCCACTGACCTTTAATTAATATGTATTCTATTATCTGCTTGTCTGAAACCACTATTTACTAAATATTTCTGAGTTATTTTATCGTTATTAACTTACTTTGTATGTAAAATGAATATTTTATTGAAATTATCGTAATGATTTTTATTATGTCATGCGTAATTTACGTCTTTTTGCAGTCTTTATGTATAGATTTATTATATGTATATATTTATCTAGCCAAAAGAGACATTAAGTACATGATTGTACTATATCTAATATTCTTTTTTTTATCCTAGATGCCGAAAAGAGTGAAAAACTGTGAATTTCAATTTTTGCTATTAATATGTTTCAATATATTCCCTGTAGTCTGTGGTGGCTTCTAATCAGACTTTATTTACCAATTATGCTCAAAATAGTTTTAAACATTTCACTGAACTAATATTAAAGTAAATTAAACTGTATTAAAAAATAAAATGGCTGCCGGCCCATTCATAGAAACTCCCCGGCCAATTGAAGGCGACCGGTTTCCTTCATTGGTCCCATAGCACTTATTTCTCTTCTTCTAAGATTTACTTCACACTTCATATTTGTAACGTCTATTTCAAGATATGTGAAGCACGAAAAGTAATATTTACATTTATATGTACAAAACAGTAAAGTTGTCAAATTTGACGATTTTTAGGAACGTTTTGTTTAAGCGGACCATCGATGGCAACCTTACCCTAAAGCTAGACTAAACTGAAATAGGCCCATAGGTAATTTTTACACCACCACATATCTATGTTTATGGTAGCCATACTGTAATTTTATTTTTTCTTACCATCAAACATGTATAAATTTATTGTTCCAAAACCTTCTTTGTATCTTTTGTATATTCATTATACATCGTTTATATATCAATGATCTGTCTTGCGACGACAGTATAAAAACTAATTTCCAGTCATTTTTATCAACCTCATTTTTGGTTCTCTATAAAAAATGAATACCCAAAACTGAGTGAAAAAGTACTGAAAATTTTAATTCAGTTTTTAAGAACATAAATGTGCATTTTCATCTGTAACAACAATTAAAACTCGGTACTGGTCTCGGCTTGGAATAAACGCGCCGTCGTACAGTGACGTCATTGAAACAAAAAATTCACAAACTGATTTCAAAAAAACATACTAAAAATGTGTAATACTTACATAAACTCGGTACTGGTCTCGGCTTGGAATAAACGCGCGGTCGTGCAGTGACGTCATTGAAACAAAAAATTCACAAACTGATTTCCAAAAAAACATACTAAAAATGTGTAATACTTAAATAAATTTAAATTTTTCATTTTTTTAAGTAATTACTCTATAACTTTGTTACCTTTAATCGGTGCATTTCACATTAATAAAATAAAAGTTTTCTGATTATTGTTATATAAATGTATTTGCCTTCTTTTGAAAAATTCGTATCAATGGTCCGCCAAATATAAAATTATACATTTAGTGGTACATGAGCTTCTAAAGATTGGCGACCGCTAGTCTAGACCGCTAGAGTTGTGGATAGTTGAAACGGCGGGACAGTGATAATTTCGCTTAGCAAGACCTTCTTAAAGGAATTCTCACATAGACACGACAAAATGCTGTACAATAATTTATTAACTAAGCTTTACAGTGTTAAAATTGAGAGCGGTTTTGATCGGCATAAAACTATTCGGAGAAACACGGAAACGCTGTAGATTTCTATGATTTGCTGTAACAGCAGCATCTATGTAATAACGTATGAGGCATCATCTACTAACACATAGAAATTTGATTTTCTTTATGGATAATAAATAGCAATAAAAAATGGGATAAGATAAAGAATATGTTAACTATTTATTTATTACTATTGCTTATTTTTTAAATAAATTGTTTAATCTTGCTGTTCTATATACTATACCTTTATTTATATCAGGGTAATGCATGTAAAAAAATAACATAGCGCTTCATGCTTCTCCGGTAGGAAATTGGAGCATATATTGAGAGGATATATTTTTCCAATATCGATAAAAATCCTCTGTACTGAATTACAAAGAAAGTTAAGGAATATGCAGATGAATATAATGTTAAGCTTAATAATAGATATTTCAAACGATAGGCAATAGAAAAAGTTTTTAATTGTCGAATCAACTTTCTTCATTTTTTTAACTTTTATAAAAGAAACACTCATTACAATAAACATATTTCAATATTCATAACTAACAGCGCATGTCCACAACACAGGTCTGCGTAACAGTGACCAAAAGAATCGCCAAAACAGCGATAAAACTATTCCTCCTACTGCCGCCCTTCGAGGGAAAACGCCCTCTTCCATGCTCCCGACCAAAACAAACGTTAGCCGCTAGCGATCTCGGCCATCATCTTGGTGAGTGTTGTTTATGTCTCATAGCTCAACTTGCTTGTATTTCACAAATCGCTAGTTAGCCTTATTCTTATACATATATGTCTATTAATTCAGAACAACGTATAAATGTTTTAAAAAATGAAGCAGCCTAAACCCTTTTGCTTTTTCCGTTAGAAATCATTTTGGTGAATATTATCAAATCAAGACAGTTGAATGCTGCGAATATGCTTGATTTCAATGATGCTATCCAAAGCTGATTCAGCAGAATGAAACTGAATATGCATTTTTCTTTCCGTTGAGGTATAAATTTACAGAAAGCATAGCCTTTTAATTGCCCCGAAATTTATACAATTAAAAAGTCAATTACTTGATTTGATAGAGAAGAAAAGGAGAGCAGAGATTTTTTCCCTTGCTCTCAAATGCATCTTTTTTTTTTTTTTTCCTTTTTAATTTAATTTAAAAGAACCACCAGCAGTCATTTAAATCATAGATTACTTCAAAAATCGTCTAAAATGTGTCATGTCATAATTTTGATATGATTTTCAAAGCAAAATAGATCTGCTGTTAATGTGAAACATTAAGCACTGAAAAAGAATTGATTTTAATTAAATTTGAAGAAAGTAAAATAAAATAAATCAGTGTACATACTACAATGCAGATGTAATTTTTATTATTAACTTAAGTCATTTTTACTGGTATGCCTAAAAATGTAACACAAAAACTCGCGCTTTTGGGAAGCCAAATTAATTTTCATTTTAAATATTTCTATCATTGCCAGCATCTGTTGGAAACCCGTCTTAAAAGATTTCTGTGCTTATTGCCGTTTAAGCAGTATCAAACACGAAACTTTTATAGATTTTTTAAATTTTAATATCTGCTCCAGATATTAAAAAAAGGAATTAATCAGATATTAAAAATGGATCTCAGGAATTAGGATAAGAAGCTCGTCAAGAAACAGAAGTGCTGTCCTAATCCTTTGAAATACTGTAAAATGGCATATTAATGAAAACCACGTCAGCATCAGTGTGTGTTAAAGCATCTTATGATGTATGCATATTTTTAACGTAACAAAATAAAGTATCGCATGTTTATGACGTCACTGAATTTAATATACTCTATCAAAAGACTATTTTAAAAAATTCTGTTTATAATACCAAAAGAGGAAAATTATCCGAATATTTAGTGGCGATAGTTTAATTTTATATAGAATGAGTAAAGTAGTTATTAGTAATTCATATTCAACTGATATTAATTGAACCCATTCACTGAAACTACAAATATAAATCGAATCCCAAGAATACCAAGAATTTCATGAGCTACATGAAAACCCTTATTCCATATATATTACTTATTTCCATAAATATTGTAACGACAAAATGTTGATGGCTAATCATACAGGATCAGAACTGTTGATGGCTAATCATACAGGTTCAGAACTGTTGATAGCCATTATATAGTTGAAATGCTTCAAAAGATTCTCTCGCTGTCTCTTTATAAATATTAATTTTCATCTTAAATATTTCTAAATATCTTTCATCTTAAATATTCTTAAATATTTCTTAAATCTTTCATCTTAAAAATTTCGTGTGTGTGTACGTATGTAAGTATGTGTTATATAAAAATGACACAATGAATAAATTCACAATCAGTTTGGAACAACAAAGTTAAATACTGCAGAGTAAAAAGAAATTTTAAAAAATTTCAAATTCAAATAAATTTCACTGTAAAACGAAGTATTACACCTCTCATAGCATCTCGTTCTTAGACTTAACAAAATGATTTCTTTTAGAAAATTAATATAAAATTTTTCACTGTTATCAATTAGATGCTAATCAAATGGCAATATTTTTCTCTGAATTAATTTTCTATTGCTAAAATCTTTTTCTAATAAAACTTTTATGTTTATTTACCACTGATCTAATCTGTTATGTTTTTCAGGTTTTATTTAAAATGTGAGCATATTTATGTTGGAAAGCTAAATTAATCTTGCGGTTTTATAATTGTAGCCTATGCTTAATTTTGCTATCGCTTATGGTTAACTAAAAAAATTCACAAATATTTTATATAAATCTGGTGAGTAATTACAATTGGCTCATGGCTTCTGTCGTGATAATAAATATTTTTCATAAATATTGGGAAATGAATTCTATTTACGTTACGTGCTAGCTAAAAATAAATCACAAGTACCAGTCACTTGTGCAAGTCGGTGCCATCGGAGAAAGAATGTTTGGTGAAACCAAAGGCATCAGCGGTTTTATTTTCTCTCATTTACTGGCAATTGCGAAACACATAACGCACGGAGCTCAGCTCGAAAGGGGAAATCATTTTTTGAAAATGCTTCGTTTAGGGGCTGCAGGCGAATCACTTAAATATTAAATTGTTATTAAATTTCAATGAATATGTTAATTACAATTTTAAAATTCGGGAATTCAAGTGCAGCTATTTAATGACAATAAATGTAATTATTGAGAGAATGAATATTACCTGATATAAACATGAAATTAGTTGTGGTTTTTGTTTCTTAATGTCAAAGCATTCCTGCTGTATTTTAACATTTTTGTTCCTTTTCAGGAATTTAACCCAATTTTTAAAAATTATCCGGAAATAATTGTATTAAATTGATTTAATTTTTATTAATTTCTGTTTAGAAATTTAATTTGGGGCCCTACAACCATCAAAATGGATTTTTTATTTAGGGTACGGAGAATTGGTATCGTTTTTGGACTTCGTAGTGGTATAGGGTTGTTTGTTTTAAGCAGAATCTTAGCACATATTTTTAGCACTTTAGAGCATGTGCCACCATAAATCAATCGCTTCAGCAATATTTTATACAGTAGATTCTTGTTTTTTTGCCATGGAGAAGAAACTATCTACTAACAATACGAGACTTTTAAAAGTTTTTCTGTTATAATTAATTATGTTTCAGTTTTTGAAAAGGAAATGATAAAAACTTCTTTTACATACTGTTTTAGTATAACGATTAAAATGTACCGGTGCAACACACTTAAGATCCATTTTCGACTTCAGGGAAAGGACACAGTTTGTTTTCAAAATTTCCTAACGTTCTCAGGTTCTTTATGACTTCATCATAGCAATGCTATTGTTTCCTTTCTTCACTCCTTAGTGTTTTTAACAGATTATTACACGAAATATTTTTACAGAATTTTGTGGCATCAAAGGGGGCTTTAAATAGTGTCTCTATTCATTTTCGCATCAATTTCTTGCAATTATCCTCCCTTAAATACGAAAATATAGGACTCATCAGTGACCTCATGGATAAGACTTACAGTGCTCTGGCACTTCGCTCGAGATTTGGTTTCGTACAAAAACAAATGGAAAGTCAGGGGAGATATGTAATAAAACTCCTGCTTAACCGAAACCGTCTAGAATTTACGAGGGCTATCCAGAAAGTAGATTACGTTTTGGAATAAAAAAATAAACAAAGTATAGGAAACAAATTTTATTATATACAGATGAAAGCCACACTCAAATACTACTTTTCTACATAGTCACCATACAAATTAAGGCATTTATCGTAGCGATGTACGAGCTTGGAAATTCCTTCGTCGAAAAATTCGGCCGCCTGCGCCTTCAACCACTTCGTTACCTCTTCTTGCAGCTGTGCGTCGTCATCAAAACGCTGCATAGCCAGCCACTTCTTCATTGCTGGGAATAGGTGGAAGTCGCTCGGTGCCAGGTCGGGACTGTACGGCGGATGAGGAAACAACTCCCACTTAAAAGATTCAAGAACTTTACGAGTGACATTTGCCGTGTGGGGCCGGGCGTTGTCGTGAATCAACAAGATCTTAGAGCTCAACATTCGTCTGCGCTTGTTTTGAATTGCTCTTCTGAGTTTTTGGAGAGTTTGGGCAATACCTTTGAGAGTTTATTGTAGTGCCTCTTTCCAGGAAGTCCACCAAAAATTACACCTTTTCTGTCCCAAAAAACAGTCGCCATCATCTTCCTTGCCGACATTGTTTGCATGCATTTCTTGGGTTTTTTGGGGAGAACTTGTGTGCCCCCACTGCATTGATTGCAATTTCGTTTCACGGTTCACATGTTTCAACCCATGTTTCGTCACCAGTAACGATGCGATCGAGTAAAGAGTCACCATCCTTATGGTAAGCTTCCAAAAAAGTTCAACGCTGCAGCCATTCGCTGATTTTTGTGGTCCTCTGTCAAGATTTTTGGAATCCATCTTGCACAAAACTTGTGGTAACCAAGCTTTTCGCTGATGATTTCGTGCAACAAACTTCGCGAAATTTGTGGAAAACTCAAGAAAGTTCCGTTATTGTGAAATTTCGATTTTCACGGACTTTAGCATCGACTTTTTCGAGAAGTTCGGGCGGTCCACTATGCTGGGTCTCCCACTTCGATCTTCGTCGTGAACATTGGTTCGGCCATTTTGAAATCTTATGACCCACTGACGCACTCCACCTTCAGTGATAATGTTGTCCCCATACACTTCACGAAGCTGCCGATAGATTTCTATCGGTTTACAGTTTTTTGCAGTCAGAAACCTTATTACTGAGCGCACCTCGCAGCTCGCGGGATTTTCAATTAACGCAGACATTTCAAACCGTCACAGTATCTGAACGGAGCACAGCACGAACCTCTCACTAGCACGGCTAGATGCAGACTGAGCTGCGCAACGCTCTGACCCCAAGATGGCCGCGCTAGCCCCGCCCCTAGCGGACACAGACGGAAACGTAATCTACTTCCTGGATGGCCCTCGTAAAAAAAAATGTATTGGACCAATAAGTGAAATACCCATTCATCTGTAAGTTCCCCTATCCGAAACAGCTCTCTATAAAGTTTCATTCTTTAGTGTCAAATACGTATTTTATAACATTAACAAGCTACCTCAGTAATATTATTTTCGAAACCAAAAGCCTATGGAAACGAATATGACTTTAAAGAATACTTATTATTAAATGATATCAATTATAATTTGCTTTCTGCTAAATGATTTTCCAGAAAGTAAATAAACCTCTAAAAACATAATTATCAAAGATTTCATCAAATTACAAAAACAAATTCTGGTTTCAAAACAAATTCAAAAAAATATTTGTCATTCGATGATTCTGTGTTCTTAATGTACAAGAAAAGGGTTTCTGAAAGTGTAAACTTATATTTATGAGCAGAGTATTATAATTCAAATTTTTTGAATAACTGTAATTGATTAACTGTAATTGTTTTTGAATAACTGTAATTGTTTTTTGAATAACTGTAACTGCAGGTAAGTTACATTGCTATTAATTTTTATCATGCTTTTTTTCCGATTTCGAGTATGGAACAGTATATTAAATGTGCTGATTTCAATAAAAAGAATTCTGTGAAATATGTCATTTTAGTGTAAATGTTTGGGTAATTATATTTATATAAATGCTTATTATTTCCTTTATTTTAATTTATGGAAATTAAGAGTTTAAAACAAAGTGCTTAGTTTTATTGAATGGAAAATGATTTCATAAGCAGCATTATTTTAGAAAATAATATATAAGGAAAAAAGTCTCTTTCATTTTTTTTAATGAACCTGAATATATATTCCCTGAAAGGACTGTACACCCGTTAGTTGCCGTTAATATATTTTTAGCCAGTTAATTTCTTTGTCATGTCGTTAGATTAGAGTACCTTTATGAATATTCTAACATTTGTTCACAAGTGAATTCTAAAGTTCGGTTTTGAACTCTCTTCTTTTCAAATACTTTTTATACTAAAGTTTTATGTTAATTAACCAGTTATTCTAATTCGAATCTTTACTTTAGCTTTTTCCTTTCGTAGTCTTCACTAGATTAGTTACTGTGTTATTATTCAAATTAGTTATTGTATATTAAAGCCAAGGGTGTGAATGTTTGGAGTCAGAGGTTCTGGCAGATTCCTCTTACAGTCAGTTATTAATTCTCAGCTCTTTTATAATGTTTATTTCCGGCTTTAGCATCGCGCCGCTAATTATCTTGAGTCAGCTTACGTAATCTGTAGGATGTGTAGTCTTAGAATATGTTAATTACATTTTGAATCTGATTTTATCTTATGTTAATTTAAATACCCGCAAGTAGAGGAGGTTCGTCTATCACACAAGCAGTGCCTTTCTGTTCATTTAAGAGTTAAAATATAAAAGATTATTTTAACCTTCTTAAGACTTATCATTGCTTCAAACTGCAGCGGTAAGTCGATTCCAGTCTAGTACCGTGTGCAGGACATTAACAAAAGATTATCCACAGCTAAACAGATTTTCGACTACTGTTATATGTGCGTACTTTTCGAGATATTACAAGAGTTTTAAATTTAATTTCACAACAGCAGTTTTAAATTATTTCGATGCCAAAAGCATTCTGTTTGCAATTTTATACTCATTAAGTAAAAAATATTAATTTAATAATGATAAATTTAATTTAATAATTAAATTAATAAATAATAAGAATCATATCTAGTGCTTATCTTTACCTTGCACATTATGTCTTGAAGCAATATTGGATTACAAATTATAGTAATTTTTACAATATTTCTTTCCTTCAATAATGATTAAAGTATTAGTGTTAAGAAAATTGTTCTTAAACCAATCTAACATTGAGATCCAATCCAAAAAGATGTTAATCCAAAGAGAAGTTAGATTATAATAAAACAGATAAAGCTATTATTCTAACAAGCTATGATATAAATATAATGTTCTTATTATTGGTGATATCGTATGAAACTTATGAAAAATTTTATGAATAATCATCAGTGAGCATATCGCTACTATTAAGACTTGGGCAGCACACGACAGTATCCAACTTTGTCCAGTTGAGATTCAGAAAAAACTGGGGATAAAATTCGAGGATTCTCTGTTTCCCTGCCATTGAGCTCACGACAGGGTCATCAGACTGACGGATTTAAGTGTTCTCCGTCCCGTCAGAGCATCACATTCGCAGGATTGTTTGCCTTATCCAGGATTTGAAGCCTTCTTTATCCGCGTAATAGTCATACTTCTCTATTTTCTTAATTTATTTTTCTAATGTCTTCACTCTCCCCAGTGATATGATATTATAATTTAAATAAAATGCATTAAATGTGCTCTTGCCTTATATCTAGATAGAAAGAGCCATGGCTAAAGTGTGCTTTAATATAATCCGTCTTGAAGAGACAGACAAAAGCAAATTGCAGGAAATCTAAAGCAAGCTTAAGGGTGAGGCAGAGCTTAACCAGAGGCACAATCTGTATGCATTTTTAGTGACCAGGAGCAAGATTTTTTACTTCTGATAGTAAACATGTTATTTATGTGCCGTTTTACACTCTTGTATCATTTTAATCTATCTATAATATTCATATACTCAAATGTAACTTTAGCATGCATTTAAAATGTTAGCAATGCGAATACTTTAAAAAGATATTTCTGTATTTGTATATTTTAGTTTTTTTAACACAGTTGGTATCAAACAAACACAGTTTAACACAGTTGGTATCAAACAAAACAACGTATTTCAATGAAGAAATTACAAAACTTAATCATATGAAATTTCTAAACTAAAATCGATGTATCTGATTTTTTTTAATCGGTTTGTTGAATTATGGAGCAGAAGAGAGACAGAACTGAAAATTTAATTAAGAAACACGAGAAATTTGTAGGAATAATTGAAAATTTGTTATGGCCCACTAGCGGCCGAGCGGGAAGATCGGTTAACACTAGAGTCTCGACCCGCACTCAAATCTCGCGGACGAGCCGGCTGCATGGGAGCATTCTTCATTTCCTCCATATGCAACATGAGTCAGTTTTTTTTTTTTTTTTTTTAAGATCATTCAAGGAAGTATCGCTCTCCATAGGCATTATCTGGATATCTAGTGTGGCTGGACAAGACCCACATTGCCAATGGTGTCCACCACACTTCTCCATATCCATATCCCCATAGGCACATAATCCCTCGAATTGTTTTACCTCAGTCAGTTACAGGCACAAACATCGCGGGCGAAAGTGTTGCGGAGAAAACATTGCGAAGGAAAAATATCGTTGCACAAAACATCATGAGAGAAAAAATATAAGGAAAAACATCACAGTTCTGAAACATCATAGTATAAGACATCTTTGTAGAAAATAAAGTGTTTCCAAATTCCAGTTTTAACCTTGCCGTAGAAGAACCTACAAATCATCGCAAGATAGTAACATCGCAAACATGTGTTTGCAGACTTTAAAAGATTTAAATGCATGTTCGAATAATGATTTGTGAATAAGAAAGAAGGAAGCATAGTTTGCCTCTATGTTTCATATATCTGAATTAACTAATAAATTTTTACTGGAAATACAGGAAGGAAACTTAAGCATTCAAAAACTGAAAATGAGTAGTTAAGTAATGCTACATATAACAGTTAACAGAATTTTAAACTATTAAAAACCGTTATTTAATTAAACTCTTTTATAAAGTTGGATTACTGATGCGAGCGTGCATTTAAAACTTCTTCTGAAAGCACATCTGTGGTGTTATCATCATGCGATGATTGATAGTTCGATTGTTTTTTACCATGATATTTTCTATGACGATGTTTTAAAAGTCTGAGGTTTTTGAACCACTTTATTTTCTATGGCGATATTTTATACCACGGATGTAACAGAACTGCGGGTTGTGTGCTCCTTTCTTTCTTCTCTTCTGCGATGTGCTATACGACGATATTTTCCCCTCGCTTTGTTTTGTCCCCGACGTTTTCGTCCGCGATGTTTCTGGCGAAGACATTTTCAATCAATCAATTGAAAATACTATTTTCTGCAACAAATTTGTATCAGCCAAGTTTATCAATGGTTTAATTCTTCGATAGGTAACTTATAAATTATCATGAAATTACGTTATACAGTCTCAACAGTGAAAAAAACTTCTTGAGTGCTATTTATTCTTGAGCTATATGTTTTTCCACTGCATTGAAATTTCTAAGCTGGCAGCCTAATTGTTTTGTCTTTCGCGTATAACGAATTTTGAGGTTTAAGAAAAATGTGATAGTTTAAGAAATGAAAGAACGGTAGCTAAAACCTTTTACATAGACTGCCTTTTTCTATTCATTTAATCACTCTCATATAAGTCATAGCTATTTCTGAAGCTACTACACTGCAGAAAATTTTAAAATAATCTACGTTAGACAATAGGTATAAAATAATTGTTTATAGCGAGGAGAAAAGAGAATTCATTGATAGATAGGAGAAATGTAAAACTTTTTTATGCAACTACCTAAATGAACATCTGCCACACGCTGAATTACTTATACTATTGTTAGTGCTTTGATATTTTGCAACTGGATATCAAGATCACCTGTCATCACACCCCATGATTATTTTCTACAGAGACTTGTCAAGGACACTTTTGTATGCGCCACTCTTACCTCATGATCTGCAAAAACAACCACAGCATATTCGGATAAGTCATCGAAAATCTCGACATAGAATTACTGCACTGTATATAGCAAGAACTCGAGTAGAATCTGAATGCCTACAATGAAAATTTGCAAATCTTTATAATGTAAGTGAACTTTTGATATTTCTCCTGTCCATAATTATCTTAGGCTTATTTGTAAGACGAAGTTATATATGAGTTTTGTTTTATTTAATCAAATATGAATTATTTCAGATACGATTTCGGTAAAATATGTAAATTATCATATTTTGTATCTTACCAATATGAGTCATGGTATATTATCACCCATTTTACATGTCTTGCCACATGTCTACATTCATGTCTTTTCTTGATATGTAACGGGAAGATCGGCCAATTTCTCTGTCGCAGTCCTCTACGAAGACATCCGTCCTACTAATTAAGGCAAACCTAAGCCGTCATCGAAAGGGAAAAAAACTTGTATTACCCGATTTATTTTTTCCATATATTTCAAATGTAATTTTTTATAATTAATACAAAATTTTTATTGAATATCACTTGATTTTAATAATCGTTTTATACACTATTTATTAAGCCGCCCAACCAGGATAGTGGTTAGTGACTCTGACTACCGTACCGAAGAGCCTGGGCTCGAATCCCCGAGAAGGCACGGATGTTTGTAAATGTATAGTGTCTGTGCAACATGAGGGCACTTAAAATATGGGACGAGCCGAAAGTCCTCTCGAGAAGTTGGTGGTAACGGAATAGGGGTGGGAGACCCTCGGATCCGTTCCCCCTGTATGCTCTCCTTCAAAACTGGGGACAGAACTGAAAGAAGTCGTACTGTTCCCTGTATGGTGACCAAGTCCCTTGCCAACGACAGGCGCAGTCTTGACTCCTTCCCACGATGGATTTCGTAGGCTTGCTGTGATTTCAGGGAAGCTAAATTAGACATAACAACTATTAATTGTTAACATTTATCTGTGTAATATATTAAGAAATGAATACGTTACAGGATCAGTAGGTTTTTTCGAAGTAGAAAAGGCCAAAAATGTGCAGTGCCTTAGGACTCCGGACCTTCCGACAGCCAGCCAAAAGTGCTTCCAGATGCAACACGAAGGCTCACAGTAAGAGGTGAAAAAATACTTTACATTCTCACCCACTTAAATGGCGACTGGGGAGTGGAGAACCAGTCGTAAATGCTGGTGGTAACGAATTATCGTCCATCACATTTTAATTCGCACGCCGCTTGTAGAGACATCTAAGAATTTTTGTAGCTGGAAACCTAATAAAGCTGTGATTCCCTAATCGGAATTCGAGCTCTGGACCTCCCGATTGCTAGTCCAACACGCTTTCAATTACACTGCGAAGGCACACGACAAGGAGATAGAAAATACCTTATAACTTATGAAAAAGTATTTTTGATAATTTTACTACTTAAACATCAAAGAAATAAAGGAATATTTTTATTCAATATTATAACTGAAAATTATTATCAAATTGTTACAGTTAAGAAATATATTATAAAATACTAAGCTGTTTCATTTACACAAAATTCATTGTTTTCATTGCATTCTCTACAATAATTACATAAATTTTAATTTCTATATATTATATTTATAGTATTAATTTAATTTTCTTCCCAAAACCTAAATATATTTATTTAAACTAAATTGCTGCCTATTTTTGAGCATATTGCCTATAATGATACTAAAATATTTTGATATTTTTCACAGTTTAATGATGGATGATTATACTGATACAATGAAAAAATATGAGTAGAAGAAAGTTTTAATCTAAGTAGTAAGGAAAGACATAAAATTACAATCTGGTGCAACTCTCGCTGCCTTTGCATATCTGCAACTTCTGCCACTAGTCGCTGATTTACCGATAAACATCACGGTTACTTTCTGCTTATTAAAGTCGGTACTTTTACAACTTTGCTCCATCGGAAGGTTTCGAGAAATATTGATTTTGGACGTCAGTTAGCACTTTGGTGTTGAGGAGCCGATATAACTGAAACAAGAAATTACGGAATGTTCAGCCGCCTGATTCACTTGGCCACTGATGGTCCAAAATTATCTATTTTTAAATCGTAGATATTACAATAAAGTGTACTTAGTATTCTTTCCAGCGCTCTGCTTAACGGCTTTATGTGGGGAGGGCATGTAATAGATAATTTATTTGTTAAATTTGCGCACAATTTATTTGGGTTATAATAATGTGCTAATATTCCCTTCACAAAATCAAGTAACAGCAAGTAGACCTGGAGTGCTTTGCTATGATAGGCAACCGAATTTAAAATGTAATAAATTAAAATTTCGTATAATTTGTTTAGTATCTCACTTTCAATAAATCAGTCTCTTAGAACTGTCAAAAAATTGTACGAAAACTTATCATTTCTTTCAAAAAGAAGTTACAAGGAGCTTTAGTAAGTTTACTCCATCACAGTGTTAAATTTACTGCCAGATTTGGCCTTCATATTCTTATTTTGTGGCAAAATTTTAGAGTCTTATTAACGATTTTATGCTGTAATTAATGTTGTCATTGCTATGTAGGGTTGCTATTGATCTTAAAGCTTAAATTAAATCCTGCTGACCCTACTGGACAAGTTAGCGAGTTATCGCTAGGTCCGAAATATGACAAAATCTTGAACTCAAAACATAAAATGCCCATCTTGTGTTAAAGACATAACACCACTAGTGGCAATGTAAATTAAGCAATAACAGTCAATTAAATTCAAACGCTGACAGTCTAAGACTATGCAATCAATGAAATAAGTCTTAAACTGGCTCAATTGTTTTACCGGCGCGTAAGCTTATTATCGGCTATCCAGAGAATGCAAAAGCCGGAATGATCACTTTAGCAGAGCTGGCGAAATTCTAACCTCTCTCTGTCTACGATTCAAAACCCTCAGCTTAAATACCCTAAAAGCTAATTTGCATTCTGGTGAGAAGTACGAAAAGAAGAAGTTATAGTGCAGATCAAAATCATAATAACTGCTTAATTAAAATAAGAACCTTACAGCCATTATTCTATAATTTTATTATGCCTAACCGACATCATGTTGCAACTGTGTTTTCCATGTTCGCTTTCATAGACTTGGTGTTGCTTACATCATATTAAAAATAGGATGAGTGTTTTATATTAGGACTTTATTTGACCACTCCTCTCTCCCTCAAAGGATTGCCTGCAAAGAAGGTTCATTTACTGGGCGGTAGGTTTTAGAAAATTAAACCAAATTTTAGGAAAGGAAGCAATGTCAATAATAAAATAACTATCAATAATGAAGCTTGCTTTGAATCTCCATAAGACAGCTTAATCATTAACGCTAGTTTCTTTTCTAAAACTTGAAGTTTTCTTTGGCTTTCGATAAAACATGCACTTCATTTCAACTTCAATTTAAAATCCATCTGTTTTCCATAAATTGATTCCTTGTTCTCTACATGTAGCATTCACTCAAATATTTGCTTAAGTTAATAATTTACTTCATATAACAAACAGGTTTTTCAGAAAATCATTATAATTTCACCTTGACAAATTAACGAACAATGGGGATATAAACTAATTAGTCGTGGAGAAGAATCATTCTACAATCCAATTATTCGCCACGGTAAATTAATCTGAATAAAATTACACGAACTTAATTCGTTGTCTGAATTTTGGGCAGACCTTAATTTCACCGAAACGTCAAGAAAATGTGTGGTAAGCCAGTTAAGTTGCTTAAATTTAATAATTTTTCTGAATGCGAAGAGTGAAATTCCTCGGTTTCATACAAAAAATTTAATAATTGTTCACATTTTATATACATATAAAATGCCTAATTCTTCTGTGAATACAGATATGTATATATATATATATATATATATAAAGATATTTTTTTTACATTGACTGTAATTATTTCTTTTCAAATTATATTTCAGAGCATCAGAGATTTTGTAAAGGAAAATTCGGAGCAGCTTAGGCTACAATTCGTTTTCATTACAACTGAGATTAAATTACTTTTTATTAATTAACTTATTTCTTATGCTTATATTTTGTTTTTGGATAGTGCGTAGAAAATTAAATTTCTGCTTATCGCTCTTCCTCCAGTTACACTGTAGAGTCATTAGGTTATTTTTGAAGAGACATGAAAAAATGTGCAATGCCCTAGCCGGGACCTCTCGAATACGCGTGAAGTATGCTTCAATTACACCACAAAGACATGCCGAAAGGCAGGAGAAAATACTTTATATATCATTGAGACGTTGGACTGTAGCTTCGCTCCTTTGTGTCTCTCACCGTATTCTAACGTTGTTAGATTTAGGAGCTCAAAATAATCCTGCAGTTGGGGTATTAGTCGCGGAACTACTACTTGAATAATTTCTTCATCCGGCCTCTTGCCGTACAACAAAGTAAAAATTTGGACTTGCTTTAGAATGAAGGTCCGTCAAATCCTCGACTTTATACTGGAACTTACTGAATAGCTTCGACTGGAGCTTGGCAATATCTTTGACAATGGGGAATGCATTTTCAAGTTTTTGAAGTTGTAGCTCTCGCTGTCAGGCTCACCCAACAAGAATTTGGCAGTGCACTTATTACCACGTAGAAACTTGGCGTCTAAGAGCGGACGTGGCAATGATAAATTTTTGTGCCTCTGGCATTGGATGCAACAGAAAATGCGAATTCATCTGATCAATAAAATTCAAGACTAAGGTCTGGCCTCCAAAATTTGCTGCTGGCTTCATAGCAGCCTTTAGGGGGTCAAAACAAATTCAAATCCCTCCATGGGATTAACTGTGGTCGACGAGACTTGCGGCGTTGAGGTAATCACACTAAATTGGGAAGTTTCCTGCGACATAATTCTTATTGTTCGGGCGCAACTTATACAATCATTAGGTTTTTTTTTTCTGCTGGAGACTCGTGAATAGTGTACAGTGCCTTCGCCGGGACTCGAACCTTGGAGCTCTCGAATACGCGTCAAGTATGCTTCCAATTACAACATGAAGGCATGCAGAAAGGCTGGGAGAAAATAACTTATAATACATATTTAAGCCTTTAACTCTAGTGGGCAAGAATATGAAGAACAATAAGGATTAATTACCGATTTTTGTAAGATATCCTTAAAGAAAAGAATCTGACATCACAATTAGATACGCATGAAGATA